GGATTGTACTCGAAAATTGCTCCCTCTGATCTGATTAACACGGATCGTACATGTGGGATCGATTTGAAAATGTTTCACTACGGTGGCTAGATCTCCATGACGTACTCATTCCCTCATTTTGTGGTGGTAGCAAGCATAGTATTTGGACGAGGTGGACTCACTTCACAAGGAATGGAGATCACAACGGCCAATGCGTATTGAAGGAGCAGTGGCGTGCAAAGTTTCATGTTTGTGATCATTCGTCGGCAACGAACCCTGTTTTTCCAAAGGAGAGGCACAACTCTTGGCAATATTTCCAAGCCTTTGCGCTACTGTCGCAAGCATTTAACCTTTTCAACCATGTCACCCATACGTACATACCTCTTGCTCTTAGATTTCATGCTCAATAAAAAGAGGAAGAAAAGGCTACAAGGACGCAACAATCGAGTGTACCGAACGTCGACTCCACGGTGCGATACAGGCCGACAACCCCAAGCAACTGCACAGCATCAACCAGGATTAACCAGGCTCTGAGGCATCCAAGCGGCGCTGTCGTCGCTACCCTCGAAACGTTCCAAGATGCATTGGTTGATTCCTGTGAACAAGAGTCACTTTTGAATTCGCATTCAACTCCTCTCGACTCCAATGAAGTTGTTTGTTGCCCTCGTCGCTGCGTCCGCTGCCGCCTCCAAGCAGTTCGTGAGCACCCTCTCGGCGGAGGAGCGCTCCGTGCTCCGCGCCGAACTCGCCGCGTGGCGCAAAGAGTTTGAACCTGCCGCCGCGGCGCAGGGCGTGTTGCCCCAAGCCATGATGAGCATGTCCCCCCACGATGCCGAAGACGACGCGCTCCAGCGGTTCTACGACAACAAGCTCGCGATCGAAGAGGCTCGTCGCAACAACCCCGAAGCCACGTTCGACTACAACAACCCGTTTGCTCTCATGACGCAAGCTGAGTTCAACAAGTTCGTGGAGGGCATGTCCCTGCAGGAAAGCCGCAGTGCGTTCCGCTCGCTCCCCGAGGCCGATTTGAACGTGAGCAGCGTCAAGGCGGCGTCGGTGGACTGGACTACCAACAAGTGCGTCAACCCCGTGATTGGCAGCCAAGGCTTGTGCAACACGGGCTATGTCTTCGCGGCAGTAGGTGCCGCCGAGATGGCGCACTGCCTCGTGACGGGAAAGCGCCTCGACCTGTCCGAGCAGCAAGTGACGAGCTGCTCCACCGAGTATGGTACCGCGGGGTGCTACGGCGGGTTGCCGCAGGGCGCCATGACGTACTTGTCGAAGGATGGGCTCTGCTTGGAGAGCGACTACCCGTACGTGTCGGGCCTCATCGGTCTAACTGGCACGTGCCAGAGTCACTCGTGTACCAAGCAGAAGCTCAGCATCGGCGCGACAGTCTACACGTGGAGCGAGGAGGCGCTGGACACGGCGCTCAACACGCAGCCTGTGGCGGTGTCAGTTGAAGCGGGCAACATCGATTGGAAAAACTACCGCGAGGGTGTGATCACGCATTGCCCTGGGTCGAGCTCAGACCACGCCGTCGTCGCCGTGGGCTATGACGAGAAGTCGTACAAGCTCCGCAACTCGTGGGGCGACACATGGGGCGAACGCGGCTACATCCGGCTCCAGCGCGGTGTGGGGGGCAGAGGCATGTGCAACGTCGCCGAAAACATCGTGTACCCCAAGATCAATCGTACCCCGGCGCCTCCTCGTCCTGCTCAGTGCGGCAGTTGCACTGGGTGCTTCTATCCCTTCACGAGAGAGTGTTTGTCCCACGGCAAGGACTACTGCGACAGCAACAGTGCTTCGTATGGCATGATTTGGTGTGGTGCCAAGCCATCTTCGATCACTGCCACCGAGTCGACGGCAACCATGCCTACGGGTACCCCGTATCCGACTACCACCAAGGCCTCGCGTACCACGACCGAGCCTAAACTTTCCGCCTAGTCGATTCTTTTGCAACCGAGCCAACTCGGACATTGCTCCATGTCGCCAATATGAAATACACTGGAATCGACGTCGTCGATGGGGTCTGGATTCCACCATGTATGGCATGCATAACAAAGATTCGTTTGTACGATTTCGATATCGCCTCTCTACCGAGAAACATGCCGGCAGAACGTGCGTGGGATTTGGCCGTGTCAGGGAATCGGAAAATTACACCGATTGTGACGGTCACGGGGGAAGGCGTCAGCGCACAAATTAAAAGGGAAGTTCCGGGGGTTGAACTTGAGGGTCGGATATTCTCGGCTTCACCAAGAGTAGCGCAGGATGGAAAGGAAGTAGGTGACTTCCAACGTGCAGGTTAAAGAGAGATAAGGATGTAGCTATCTAACATGAAGGCGTCCCTCTAGAGGGACGTCAAGAGTCTCTAGGCTAGAAGTTCTACGATTCGGAGCCTGATCATTTGGTGTCGACCATTCGTGGTCGAATAGGGATGACTTGATGGACATCATCGTCATAAACTCCCCGTTCAATGTTCGACTCCATCGAACAACCAGGTCGACGATGATGCCTTGGTCGAAAGGACATGCACGTACACTGGAATCGACGTATGTCCTCGCCAAGATCGTACTTAAGCATTCTCTTCATTGAATGAAATACAGTCAACGAAGCGTACATAGTCGAGCATATTTGCATAACCAAAAATACCGAGTACCGTAGCGATAAATCTTTGCGACTCTATCCTTTGATCATACCTTCTCGGCCTTTTGGCTAAGATCAAGTGTAGTATCTGTTCTAATCAGTGTGAAAACTGATTTCCATACTTTGTATGGAGTTTTTTTCACATTCATTTTTATAGATTCCCGGGGTTCAGGAGGCTTGCCACTGACCTTGAGACAGGTTTCCGAGGGCCCAGCACTCCTCCCTTGTGAAGCCTAACTCTTCCACGTCGCACTCTCTCTCTGCATTCGTCTCTCTCCACTGCCCATCGTTCGTCATGGCAGCCGACTTGATCGCGGAGCAGCCATAGTCATGTCGTGAGCTCGTTCGAGTTGGATGCGCAGGCATTGCAAAAGGCTCGACTGGTTTTTCGGTCCCCAAGGTTATATTGCGATCTGGCTCACAACGTGGACGCGTCCAGCGAGGGCTTTGAAAACGCCACGTTATCAATTTGCTTTGTTCAACTGCTGCTGCTTGACTGCGGCGGCAACAGCATTCTTTATCCGCACACGAATGGCGTCGACATCCTGCGGCCGCATTGGCTCGGATCCTCGATGGACGAGGCATTCCTGGGGCCAAAACCCCAACGGATCGTTGTCGTCCTCGGCTTTGTTCAACGCTTTGGACCGCGTACGGCGCTTCGACACAAATGACGGGACTTCTGCGAGCAATTGCTGGGTGCGTTCGTCGGGATTCGTCATCGAGTGGATGTCATTGTTCGAGTATGGGTTGAAAATGTAACTACAACGCAGTCGTCACGCCTGGAATGTCCAAGTTGGGGTGAAAAATCCAGCAAACTGTGTACCCGCCATTGATGTGAAGCAGCTCGCTCTCGGTCGACAGGTGCGGCAAAAACTGCGCCAAGCCACCTGCACACCCCACGTCGACATTTTTCATCGGGGGACGAGAGACGCACCACAAATGGTGTCGGGGTGATTCGCCATGTTGCCTGGTTTTTCCGCGCCGGAGTTGGCCCATGGAGAGAAGAAGTACGGTTGGTGTGCCAGTTCGTACGCGATCCAAAACAGCTCCTTGTCGCCGTAGGTGAACCCGTTCCGGTGACGGTCGTGTTGTAGGATGTGCCACAGGACATCCATCGCGCGACCCGCCTACATCAACCATTGCAGCCCGTTGATCGATTGCCGTCGCGGCAGCTCGTCCGACCTTGGATTTCTGAACGACCACGATGGACGAATCCTGCTCGTGCGCAGCATCGCCATGCCATGCCAACGATGACAGCAAGTGCGCGGACGGACCTTTCTCCAACCCAAACGCCGCATAGTCGAACGACTCGATCAGCGCGTGCAAGTTGGGCCTACGTTACAAGGAGAACGCTGGAATGCCTCGCCAGAAGACGTACTGGTCGTTGTGCCATCCGTTCAAGTATTCCTTCTTGAGGATTTCGCGGTCGTAGAAGAAGATCGTACCGGTCTCTTTGTACCTACAGCATCGATGGTCAACACTGCTGTGATGATCGCGCCATGGGAATATCCACGTGATGCCCTTCACGCAGCCGCTCCATCGAGAACCACCATAGACAAATCACTTTTCACACCCATCCATCCATCATGCAACGACCCAGCAAGCGGTCGACCCTCAGCAACAAAATGGGAACGGCCAGCATCGAGGCCAGCGGAGTTGCTTCCGTGGGTTCCAAACCGTCATGGCAAGTCGCTCGTCGAGTCCTCATCTCGTCTCAAACGGCTCGAATACCGCAAAGTCTTCGCACTTTCGAATCACGATGTGCTACATTCCATTCAGCGCCGACATGATGCGGACATCACGAGACAATGAAAAAGTACGACGGATCGAGCAACTGTAGGACATGCATCGCACAACATGATGGACAAGACGGATGGAAGCGGAAAGCGTCATTACCCTGGTGTGTCGAAGAGGCGGGATGGATTGAGAAAGACGAGGTCGTCCGCGTCCATGAGGATGACTTCATCCAAACGAGTGTGCACGAGCGCAAGCGGTTTGAGCCAAAAGCTTCGGAACCCGTTCATTTCATCCGATCGCAGCTTACCAAGTGCTTGCATTTCGACACACCCGTCGACAATCTCGATGTTGGTGTCGACGTCGTCGAGCATGGTCTGCGACAACGCAGACAGCTCGCCGTTGCAATGGTACAATTGGATCACGTCCGAGTACCCGAGGGTGCGCAGTTCTTGGATCAACGAAATTGTCATGGGGATCATTGCGTCGAACAGACAAATGACAACCCCGCGCGACTTTGTCGTCGGCACCGACTCGGCCTCGGCGCGGATGTGGTACTTGGGTAGGGGCTCGTTCATGTAGGGCGATATGTCCAGCATCATCATAGACAAGAACGTAAACGACCCGACAAGCCCCATCAGAATATACAACATCACGGACGAAGGCACTCGTGACGCCGGCGGACGTGGCACAGTCGTGGTCATGGCGGCGATTTCGGCGCTCCAACACGCGAGTTCCCCAGAAAATTGATTGCTTGAAAAAACGTACAGATTTGTAAAATATCGGTCGAAAACTTCCAAATATTTACCAAAAATTTAACTGACAAGGACTCACGTTTTCAGTGCCCTCAACGCGACTTGCATGCACGGTGGTCTCTTAAGGAGCCGCATGACGGCACACGCATGGTGCATGCACCACAGCTGCCATCGTGAATAGATCGAGGAGGCCTGGAGGGTCGGAGGAGTGCTACAACGAAACGTCGGCGCCGTTCGCGGGAAAACAGACCTGGAATATATCAGCATCCCCAACTCGCTGCAACGCTCTTGTGTTCTCCATGTGCTGTCACAAACCATGTCGGTCGCTATCGTAGTGTGGACGAAGGACGTGGGTGTCAGTCCTTCATGGCATGAACTGCCAAGTCGACAACGACAAATCCGTGGTCGCCATGCGATGTCGTCTTGTGCTGTCAATGTTATGTTATCACTTTTTACGTAACACCATGGGCGTGGGTGTCGAGCTCGCGTCAATTTGGCTCAGGCAGCGATGCACAACGGCAGGTGTCACCACCTTCATGGCTCTACCACGATTTTGGGCGAATCCTCGCTGAGGGGCACCGTCGGAGAGGGCATGTGTGTGTGCTTGATCAAGTGTTCCGCTTTTAATGTGCGTCAGGCAGCGTGCAAATGACGAAACCAGGGTTAGTTGTAGTGTTAGCCATGCGATGGATCCAACTGGTAGTGGGCGATGGTTGTCTTGGCGACCTATCCGAGGGACGCCGTAGCAAGCACATACGTGTATGGCGTCGACAGAGCATCCCACGCAGCCCCTCGATACTGCACGGTCGATTTGGACCCTCGCGGGCGGACTGGCTGTCATGTTCATGGGGCGATGTGGGCAGTGGGGATACGAATTGACGTGACCAGAGCCTTGGTCGCGGGAAGGTCCCTCACATGAAGTTTCGAAACGTCGTCAGCGTTCACCATTGCTGCAGCAGGAACAGCAAATCATCTGACTTGACCGCGCAGTGGCCAGTCGATCAGATTCGACCTCATCGCACTCCACTCGAATCGTCCCGTGGGCGGTGAACAGATCTGTGTCGTTCCTCTGTAACAAGACGGATCAGTTCCAGGAGCCATCTCTGGACCCTCCCTGCTAATGGCCTTCTCTTCCATGGGTATGCGCATGATATGCAAGCAATACCCTCGATCTCGTGGACGCATTTGCCAGCCATCAATCACGGGGTGGCCATTCCACACCAGGTGATCCGTCCGCCAGTTTCTGGGGCTTCAGGCCGTCCTGTTGCTCTCGTCCAATCAGAAACAAGACATGATTTTAGAACGATTCTGATTGGTCTGTTTCTCGATAGGATTGCCCCATCGGATCCGAACGACATGCAGGTCCAAGTGGCCTTCATGAGTGGACCTGACCACGGCATGGCAAGACGTCGCGTATGCCAGCGAGAACGACACTTTTACCCACTGCGCGAGGCGGATGGCATGCCCCACCACTTCGTCCACGGAAGTCGTTGTTGTGCACGGCATCGAAACGGTCTTATGTGGTCGCTCCATGCCTCGACTTTAATTGTGACCCCAACGACGAATTTAAGCATGACGATGGCGAGTTGATCTACAATGGCCAGGACCTTCCATCAACCGTGCGATCCAATGTCGACGTGTACAACACCAGCGACGACAACGGCCTCGACCGAGATGGAAGCGTCGAACATGCGGGGACATCCCACCTCAAGAATAAGAGCCACCAAAGCACGCACTCGTTGGACGGCATTCAACGTGCTACCAGCTCGCTCAGATCACATCCAAGACGGACGACACCCTCCGACTCGTCTGTCGAAGCGATTACCAGAACTCCACTTGGCGCATCCTTGGCCATGTCCTACAATTCATCATAAGGACCAATACTATATTGAATCAAGTAGTGTACAATTCGCCCTACATGGGCCTGGTGGTGGGTCGTGGGAGCTGGTCATTCAGCGCGCACGGTGATCGCAGAGGAAGCGTTGTTTTGTACTAGTAGTGGATCGGTCTAACGGAAAAAGGCATGGTTTGGATGCTGGCAGCCTTCTTGGAGTTCCGGTGTTGGGGGTACATATATCTTTACGAGTATGCGTTTGCGCGCGACGCAGCGTCCAAGACAGCAAAGGCGACCGGTGTTGAGCCCATGACTTGATGCTGTTGATGGTAGTGTTCGCTGCGCAAGATTCGCCCGCTCCTTCATGAAGCTCGATGACGACTCGTCCCCTTTGCGACATCACTGCAACGAGTGAGCTGGTAGAGGGAAGGCCCTGGAAGCCTAGCATGGCTCCCATGGTTCCGCCGCGGTTCTCCCTTTTTCTCGATGGTTGACGTTGAAGTTGGCACATCGATGCACCAGCCAATCAGAATGCATTGCAAAAATTAATATTTACAAAACTTTATTCTACATAATTCGATTTGTTTAAGATGGACGACGTATTTAAATATGCGGTGGAATACCATAAGATACGCAAATTCGATTCATTGTCCGATTTCTCGTCGTCCTTCATGTGGCGCGTGTCCAAGCACGTCCGCGGTATCGCAGCGCGATGTGTTCCTCGTTACGCCAGCAGGTACACTCTTTTTATATGTAAATTCGATGCCTTGTGCACGAGAAAGAAGATGAAGCATGCTCACGCATCGCATTCTCTCGCCCCAGCGTCAGCTCGATGCCGTCATCCAGGACGCTGCACGCGCCCGACAAGTCGGACGTACGTGCATGACATTCGATGTCTGCAAAGTCGGCAAACTCACTCTCGAGTTTTCACGACAGGTGGTGGTAATTGGTGGAGGTGTTGTCGGCACGAGCATTGCGTACCACTTGGCAAAGTATGGCGCGAAGAACGTCGTGTTGCTTGAGAAGACCGAATTGACTGCCGGGTCGACATGGCATGCTGCGGGTCTCGTGACGTATTTCAACCCGGGAATCAACCTGAAGAAATTTCACAACTACAGCTTGAATTTGTACAAGTCGCTTGAAACAGAAACCGGACAGGTAGACAACCCCGCGACACTTTCGTAGAAGCGAGCGCGCGCGGACGATTTCTAGAGTGTGGGGTTGCATACGCCGGGAAGCATTCGCATCTGCACGACCCCCGCACGTATGGATGAAGCCAAGTACGACGACCGTCCCTTGCTGGACGGGATGATTAGCGTGCACTCTAGATACCAGCAAAGCCGCCAGAACTGGCACGACGCCTTTCAATCGATTATTGCTCCCGACGAGATCGCAGCAAAGCACCCGCTTCTCAACATGGACGACATTTTGGGCGGGATCTATACCACCGGCGACGGCCACATCGATCCCTACAGGTAATACACATCGGCATCTTCTTGCACCACACACCACGCGATTTCATCAGGCTGATGCTGAAGTGTCTACACGGCATCACTGCATTGCTGCTGGGTTTGACAAGTCTAACATGTTGGTAGCGTCACGATGGCCCTTGCGCAAGGCGCCAAGCTCCATGGCGCGCATATCTGCCAGCATCTACCGGCTTTGGAACTGTCGGAGCGGTCGGATGGGACGTGGGACGTGTCCACCGCCAACGGAATTATTCACGCCAAGACTGTACGTGCACGATCGCATGTGGTCGGGTGCTGGTGTCGGGTCCACCGGCACGCCCTTCTTGTGTGTGGAATTGGTTGGGCTGCCGTCATGGAGCGAGGTCGACGTCGTCTTTGCCATAGATCGTCAACTGCACGGGGTTTTGGGGGCGCGAACTGCTCCAGGGGTCGCTTAACGTGGACTTGCCCCTTGTCAGTATCGAGCACCAATACGTGATCACAAACTCGATTCCCCAAGTCACGGCTCGAGGCGCGAAAGAATTGCCCGTCATTCGCGACCTCGAAGCGTCGTACTACCTCCGGCAAGAGCGCACGGGCATGTTGGTTGGCCCCTACGAAGCCGTACGTTGCATGGAGTACCTTCGTCATGTGGTGGTCATCGTGTATTCGGGTGGGTAGGGCCACCTCATGAAAGTGCGCACGGACTGGCAAGCGGACGGCGTGCCAAGTGGCTTTGGCAAGGAATTATTCCCGCCCGACGTCGATCGCATTCTTCCACATCTGGAAGCGGCCATGCATCGCATGCCCGTGCTCGCGGATGCTGGTAAGATCCTTCGAACTGTGGGGCGGTTTGCACAAGCAGTGTGCTTTCCAGTTCAGATCCCGCCCTACTGCTTGAGCGACTGCATCTTGTGTCCTCGTGACTCGATCGTGCATGTCTGCGTCTAGGCATTCAAAACGTGACGTGCGGTCCCATCTGCTACGCCCCCGACGCGCTTCCTCTCGTGGGCCCTCTTCCCCACCGCAAGCTGCGCAACGTGTTCATCGCCAACGGCATGTCGTACGGCATTGCTCACGGCGGCGGTTGCGGCGATTACGTCGCAAAGTGGATCCTCCACGGGGAACCTCCGTACGACTTGACTGAAATCGACCCTGCTCGGTACGATGCCAACTGATGTCGTCCGTCGCACGCGTGCTCAACGTGGGCACGTGTGGACGAGGCTCGTTCGTGCTGGAATTCCTGTCGAACGTGTTTCATGTTGGTGCTGCCAGTGGGCGCTAACGTGCCATGTCCTAGATATGGAGCATGGACGACGCCAGCATTTACGGCCGCCAAAGCACGAGAGAGCTACGGCGACAACAACTTGATCACGCATCCGATCTTGGACAAACAAGCGGCGCGACCAACGAGCCGACTGTCGCCGCTGTACAAGACATTGCGTGAGCACGGGGCGCAGTTTGGTTTGCACTCTGGGTGGGAAGTCCCGCACTGGTTTGCCACGACCCCGAACGAAGTCGGCCACGAACACAGCTTTTACCGAACCAATTCGTTTGCCCCAACGAAGCGAGAGTGCCGCGCCGTGATGGACCGCGTCGGTGTGATCGACTTGAGTTCGTTCGCCACGTTTGAAGTGCACGGGCCGGGTGCCCGCGATTTCTTGGAGCACGTGTGCTCCAACTCGATTCCCAAGGTCCAATTCTTTTTTCTCTTGCCTCGAGAGCGTTTTTGCATGTCCTACGTTGATGCGCGCATCACGTACGACTCCGTTTGATGCGATTGTAGGTGGGGCAATCGATTCGCATATGCCACATGTGCACCCCCGCGGGCCGCGTCATGGGCGAGCTCACCATCACGGCGCTGGCGGACGACGCATTTTACGTCGTCACGGGCGCCGGCTCCGAGCTCCACGATCTCAGGTCGTCTCCATCCATGTGTGTGTGGTGTGTTGGCATTCATGTATATATGCATTGCCGGCTTCATGCGCATCCATCCCCACGTGATCGCGACGATCATCATCGCGAAGACAACGTCCGGCCTCGATGGCACGGGCGCCGTTTGTCCGGGAGTTGCCTGCGATGTGCTGATGTGCCAAAAAACTCACCCACTGGTGGATGAATAGATGGTTGGATGCGTATGCTGACAGGTTCCCGGACGTAACGATCGACAACACGTCCGACAGCACGGGGGTGTTGGGTCTCGCGGGGCCACGTGCGGCGGCGGTCCTGGCGGCGATTGCTGCCCCAACAAATGGAACGATCCCGTTCATGAAGTTGCACACAACGCAGATCCAAGGCGTCGACGTGCGTGTGCTCGGGTTGAGTTTCACCGGCGAGGCGGGGTACGTCGTCGAGTTCTACCATCACCACCAATGTGCCGCTCGTGGAATCGCTCGCTCGAGACGTCCTTCTCACGTGGACATGTCCAGGTACGAGGTGCACTGCCCGCTCGAACACATTCAAACCGTGTACGATGCGGTGTGGCGTGCTGGGCAAGCGCACGGGATCGAAAACGTCGGGACGTTTGCAGTCAACGCGATGCGGTTGGAAAAAGGTTTTCGCGTGTGGGGCGCCGACATGAACAAAGATACCACGCCGCTGCAAGCGGGGCTGCACCGATTCGTCCAACTCGACAAGGCCACGCCGTTTGTGGGCCAGAAAGCACTGCAACAGGTTCTTCAATCCCCATGCCGTTCAACGCCGTTGTTCATGTTTGGTGCGGTAGGAGGCGCGCCATGGAAGCTCGAAAACCCTCGTCCACCTCCACGTTCTCACCGACTGTCCGGCCCCCGGCCACGGTACACTACGCCATGCCGACCGTCCTCTCGATGATAAAGGAACTAGACCCGTTGGACGCGTGGGGCAACGAAGCAGTGTGGCACAACGGGAAAGTCGTCGGCAACACCACGTCCGGCGGGTTCGGCCACATCGTGAACAAGAGCATCGCGTTTGCGTACGTGCCGACGTCGCTCGCTGTCGATGGCAACCACGTCCAAGTCGAACTCGTCGGGCACAAATACACGGCGATCGTGCACGTGCACCCGTTCATGGAGACGCAGCCGACGCGCGCGCGCAAGCTCCAAAAGCAAAAAATTGAAAGAAAGTAAAATTGTCCGCTGTGGGATTTGAACCCACGCGTACGAATACATCACGACCTGAACGTGACCCCTTAGACCACTCGGGCAAACGGACATGTTGTTCCCGTAATGCAGATGGTGCTTTTGAATTGGAAAGACATGGCTTCGTGTGCAAATTTGCAACGGACATGGCAACTGGTTGTCCTTACAGTGTTAGGACTCGCGACAATGTGGAAGAGGGACGTGATGCGTGTGCTGCTGGAATCGCGCCATGAACGTGGCTCTCGTGGGTAAATTGGACACGTGCAGAGTCTTTTCACCACTGCTTGAGGAGGGCGTGTCGGCAAGTTCTTGCGTCAAGGCCATGGCGACCACGTCGATGACGTTACGGGCTATGTGGTTGGCACACAAAGGAGGAGCCAGTGCAACCCACGTACATGCACTTGTCGCATCATGCCTTTCAAGTGCAGGTCGACGACGTCACATGCATTACGTGGATACATGCAGTGGGAAGGCTCCGGTGGCGCACCCAGCACTCGACGCCTTACCTGAACTTGGGCGCAAGCCCTCATCCTAAACGAACGCGGCCGGGATGCGCCATAATATGCCAGAGGTGCTGCATAATATTATACCTGGGACGAATTAATACCAGGAATACGGCTACTGAACGTGGTGGATTTAAAATATTCTCGAACTTTCGGGGGGATGACCATGCAAACGGGCTGTATTTTAATATGGTAAATTGGGTGGACATATCAACTGTGACAGTATTACCGATAACACCGTCCAAATTAAAAAACGTTTTCACAGTTAGTATACAAAATTTGTGATAATAAAATTTCATTTTCCAAATATCGTAATAATAAATTGAGATCGGGACTGGCCACACTTTTGAATTTTGGCTACAGGCTAAGGCGCAAGGGAAGATGGAGCAAGTCGGCGCGAAGCTTCTCGACATGAACGCTCCGCTGGACGTGGCGATGCTGGACGAAGTCGTAGCGTGCATGCAGAACCCCAACAACCCCCATCACGCGATGGCAAACGAGATAATGGTTGCCTTCCAGGGCCACCAGGACTCGTGGACTCGGGTGTCCCAAATCCTCGAAACCTCAACTTATCAACCGACCAAGTACTTTGGACTGCAGGTAGTGTCCTTTCCCAAAGTCATGCGCGCTTCCTGCATCGGTCGCGTACGCGCCTTTTGTTATGTCGACCGTGATCTGGCTGGCGGATGGCCATGTAAGTGCTTTGGTCACGGGTCGCATGTAGATCTTGGAAGACGCAATCAAATATAAATGGTTTATCATGCCGAAGGAACAGCGCGAAGGGATCAAGCAATATATTGTCGGCAAGATCCTGACCGTACGTCGACGTCGCACCATTGCCTGCCTGCTCTCCCTCCATGACATCTAAGTGGTGGAGGTACCTCATGACGTGTAGTTGGCAGCAGATGAAACAACGATGCGAAAGGAGCGCCTCTTTATCAACAAGCTGAACCTCGTGCTTGTCCAGGTTCGCCCCGTCGCTGTTCGACCAGAGATGACTGCTATTGTTGACGCACGTGCACTGCAGGTGTTGAAGCACGAGTGGCCAAAGAACTGGCCTACCTTCATCACGGACATCTGCACCTCGAGTCAGGTACGTCTCGTTGCGGCCGCGCTGTCTCACGCTCCGTTGTGAATGCCCGCCATCCAGAAATCCGAAGTCCTTTGCGAGAACAACATGTTGATTTTGAAGCTGCTGAGCGAAGAAATTTTTGACTTTTCAAAGGATCAAATGACTGAGAAAAAGACGAAAGCGCTCAAGGAGTCGCTCAACCACGAATTTGTGCAGATCTTTCGTCTGTGCGAGTTTGTCTTGGACAAGTCGACCCACATCCCGCTCCTCACCATCACGCTGCAAACGCTCCTGCGCTTCCTCTCGTGGATTCCACTCGGTTTTATCTTTGAAACCAACTTGGTCGAAACCCTCGTGAAGAAGTTCTTTGCCACCCAAGCCTTTCGAAACGACACGATTGCGTGCCTCAGTGAAATCGCCACGCTGACCGACGTCCCCCAGGTAATGTCGACCCATGCTTGGCACCTACTCCCTTGGCAACAGTGTTGTCCATCGTGCTTGCTATGCGAATTTTGCCTTCTCGCTTGACCCCTGCTTTCCTGGACGACAATTTGGAATGTCTGCTCCGGCAGTGGCGGTGCATGTGGCGTGTCATCCCACGGGTATTTGAACTTGGTTGGGCTCTGCATGTCCTGTCGATGCACCACCCGAATGATGGGCACATGTGGACTGCCTCTTGCTTGCATGATTGTGTGCCACCGTGAAAAAGTCCGTGGGATAGGCTCATGTTGCGGCGATATGCTTGTTGCTCTAGACCTACGACAACGTGTACGTGCAAATGTATTTGGCGATCCTGCATGAACTGGCGCGCATCGTCCCGCCTGGCCACTCGATGGAGCGAATCCATCATCTTGATAGCGTGTTTGTCCAAGGTATAATTGATCGATGCCATCCCTTCGTGGACTCCACCGGTGGTGCGGCGTAGGGCTGTCGCTGTTTTTCACCAACTTTTTCCGGCACCACATCCGTGTGATTGAGCAACCGATCACGCGCCCGAGCGACGAAGCGCACATTGCGCTCTTGACTGGGTTTCAGTACCTTATCAGCATCAGCGAAGTAGACGACGAAAACATTTTCAAAATTTGCCTCGACTATTGGCACCTCCTCACGCGAGACTTGTACTCGCTTGATCAAAACCAAGCCCAGTCCCATGGCATGAACGTTCTCGCATTGACGCGGCGAGGTACGAAGTGTAGTCTCGTTTGCTTTGTTTGAGTGGTTTCTTTGCCTTGTGCGTCCTTCCAACATTTCGAACGAGTCTGCCTCGTTCGAATGGATGCTTTTGCACATGAATGAACAAGTTGCTTCAGCCTCTCGATCTCTGCGACGTGCAGCAGTGCATCGGTGGCCGCGTTCTCGTTGAGTTGGACGTTCGTTCGTGTTTCATTCCACGTCTCTGCCATGCAAACTAACGTGCACCCGTCAACCCAATCGTTCCAAAACAACTTTACTGATGGTGTGGCCCACACCGTAGCGGCCGAACCGGACCCGTTGAGTCGGAAGTCGCTGCTGAAGGTGATCCTGTCCCGCCTGCGCGTTGTCATGATCTCCAAGATGGTCAAACCGTCGGAAGTACTCATCGTGGAGGATGAAAACGGCGAAATCGTGCGGGAAACCACCAAGGACACGGAAGCGCTAAGCCAGTACAAGACGATGCACGAAGGCCTGGTGTACCTCACGCATTTGGACTACGACGATACGGAAACCATCATGCTGGAAAAGCTGACCGACCAAGTCGAAGGCAATGGGTGGTACGTAGCGTTTGCGTGGCTGCGACCGATGCACTTGTATTTTTTGGGATTCTGGTTCAGTTTGTTGGCGATTCGACGTGCCGTTCGTCGGAGCTGTCACGACCTCCTGGATCCGTTCGCTGGCCGACGTGTCCACGGTATTTTTTCATGAGGACCTTGCCTTGCGGATCCATCGTGTGATGTGCACGCGTTGGAAACGTATGCGCCCTCTCTTTCATGTCCAACTGGACGAAACCTTGTGACTGGACCGGCACCGTGTTGAGCTGTCTAATGTGGCTTGTGCAGGTCGTGGAACAACCTGAACACGTTGTGTTGGGCGATCGGGTCGATTTCGGGCGCCATGAGCGAAGAGAACGAGAAGCGCTTCCTCGTGACAGTGATCAAGGATCTCTTGGGGCTGTGTGAAATGAAGCGCGGCAAGGACAACAAGGCCGTGGTTGCGTCCAACATCATGTACGTCGTGGGGCAGTACCCTCGGTTCCTGCGGGCGCACTGGAAGTTCCTCAAGACGGTCGTAAACAAATTGTTTGAGTTTATGCACGAACTGCATCCAGGTGTCCAGGATATGGCCTGTGATACGTTTCTCAAGATTGCGCAAAAGTGCCGCCGCAAGTTTGTCGTGCTCCAGCCCGGCGAGCCGTATCCGTTTGTCGAAGAGCTCATGATGGAGCTGCCCAAGACAGTGAGCGACCTCGAACCCCATCAACTGCACACGTTTTACGAAGCAGTGGCGTCGATGCTGGCTGCGGAGACCGTTCCCGCGCGCAAGGACACGCTCGTCGCAGAGCTCATGAAGCTCCCCAACGCGGCGTGGCAAAACCTCATGCAGCAAGCGGCGCAGAACGTCGACGTGCTGTTTGACCCACAAGCAGTCAAAGAAATCGTCAAGATCATTCGCACCAACGGCAACGTGTGCAAGGCGATCGGGCCCAACGGCTTCAATTCGCAGATGGGCGCGATTTTTCAAGACTTGCTCAACGTGTACCGCACGTACACGCAGCGCATTGCGCAGCGCGTCGCGCACGGCGGCGAGCACGCTACCAAGACGTCCGAGGTCCGCAGCCTACGCAACGCCAAGAAGGAAAGCCTGCGACTGTTTGAAGCGTTTGTCGAACACTCGAGCGCCGACGAGAACGGTCGCCAAACGATTGCGCGCCACTTTTTACCGCTGCTGCTCGAAGTCGTCCTGTCCGACTACAAGACGACTGTCGCAAACGCGAAAGAATCTGAAGTTCTCACGCTCTTGGCCACTTGCATCAGCAAACTCAAGCACGCGGTTGCGCCGAGCGCCCCCGGCATGCTCGAAGCAGTGTTTGAATGTACGCTCGAAATGATTACGCGCAACTTTGAGGATTTTCCCGAACACCGTGTCAACTTTTTCAAGCTGCTCAAGGCCGTCAACGAATTCTGCGTCGAAGCGCTGTTCAACATCCCGGCCGAGCATTTCAAGCTCGTTGTCGACTCGATCGTGTGGGCGTTCAAGCACACGGAACGCACGGTCGCCGACACGGTAAGTCAGCACCTGCGTGCCTCGTTTTCTTGTTTTGGTGCGAATGGATGGCTCTTGCTCGTGGTGGCTTGGTTGGCGTCGTTCCCACGGCATCCACGATCGCGTGAGGATGTGTCGTTCGACATGTCGTCCCAGTGGCCATGCCTGCCTGCTCGTACCGACCGCTGGATGGATCGCATGACACGCGAAGGATGCATGTCGGTTGGCACTGACCTCTTTCGGCTTGTCCTGTCTACCTGCATCGAGCCGTTGGAAGCTTCAATGTGTGTGTGTGTGCTTGTACTCTGCCATGTGATGCCGAGAGGGTTGTATGGGCCACGTGGCGCCGCGTGTTGGTTGGGAAGGATGGCAACCTGTGTCGTCCATTTGTCCCTTCAACAGCCGGGACAGATCCGATGACTCGAGCCCGTTCGTTGTCTCCCATAGGGATTGGAAACGCTGTTTGCGCTGCTGTTGAACGTTCGCGAAAACGAAACCCTGGCGGCGAGTTTTTACCGGTCGTTTTACTTGTCGCTGCTGCAAGACATTCTGGTTGTGTTGACCGATCGGTTGCACAAATTTGGGTTCAAAATGCACGCGGCGCTGCTCAAGCACATGTTTTCGCTGGTCGAGATGAACCAAGTCCACGTCCCGCTGTGGGAATCGCTGCCGGGGATGCCGCCTGTGATGCCGCCTGGCCAAACCAACTCGGTATATACGCTCCATCCACGTCCATGCCATGGCCGGCGGCACTTTTGATGGTCGTTGTGTAGCAATTTCTCAAGGAATACGTGGCCAACATGATCTCGACGTCGTTCCCCAACATGTCTCCGTGAGTACAAAATTCTTCTTGTCGCGAATGCGCCGTGCGGTTGTTTGTCCCGACGTTGTGGGAGAGCCGATCCACTGGACTCGATCGACGTGACGACGTTGATTTCGTAGGGCCCAAGTCCGTGCGTTTGTCGTGGGATGCTTTGACATGACGAAGGACTTGCCAGCGTTCAAAAAGCACTTGCGCGATTTCTTGGTCAACATCAAAGAGTTTGCCGGCGAAGACAACGCGGATCTGTTTCTGGAAGAGAACTTGGCCATGTCCCAGGAGCGACTGCACCAAGACACGATCGCGCGCCTTGCCGTCCCCGGGCTCGTCAACCTGTACGAGCGACCGGATGGCAATGCCGACGACATGTCGGATTTGTAATACCAGACTCATGCACGTCGTACGCCTGCGTCCTTGCTTTCGCCGTTCGCGCCGGACGCCCGAATGTGTTTCCAGTGCTCCAGTGGGGTTTTGAATCCACGACTGGGACATACGTCAACGTCAACGAGAACGCCCCCTGATCGGATGCCTGCGGGGACGAGGTCGTGGGCGGCGTGGGTCGCGCGTTCTTCGCCCCCGTGGCGTCATGGCAGAAAGACGTCCAGCCAAGTCTACGTCACGGAGGGTCGTTGGAGAAATACCGCCACGGACGGCAACATGGCACGATGCCATCGAGCAGCCGGGAGCGCTCTCTCGTGGCACGAGCGTTTCCCTCGGGCGCAGGCCACTGCAGTCGGGTCATGCCAGTCTGCTGCGATCGCCCACGAGGTGGAACTGGTCAGGTGAAGACGGCGAGCTCCGGGCAGGTTCTAGCTCTTGTAGCTGGTCGCCAGCGCAGCGACCAGAGAGCCTCCCTTGTTGTTCATGCCCGAGCACTCGAGCGACTTCGTTCAGGAGGAACGTGCCCAGAACACGACCGTCCCCCCCGGCTCTCATCGGGGAAATTTCGCGCAAACGATTTTGGGCAATGGACTTTACCAGGCGCACTTAACACGATCATTTGGATCGTTCACGTGGGTAGTGTTCACGGCGGATGAACACGTCTTGTTGAGTTGTACGGATTGTGTATGCGATATGCTTAATGTGGCCGACGAGTCTGCCAACCTTTGAATCCCTAGTGGGTCGAGAACGCGATGCGCCGTCGATGTTGCACCTCGCACATCGCCCGAGAGGGACCTTGTGGCCGATGAAGTGCGCCCTCATAAGTACGTAAATTTGCCATAATAAGTACGCGCCTTGGCCGCATGGAATTTCAGAGCCCATCAACCCACGGTCGCGATACACCCAACTCTGCTGCGTTTTTAATCCCGCAACGGCAACCGTGCTGTCTGTGTGCATGGGGTATCCAGCCTATCCCCTTGTGACCGGTGAAGAGTCTGCTGCCCTCTTTGCTGTGTCCAGCGGCGCCACTGGTGTCAATGACAGAACGTCTTCGTCCCGATGATGTGATAGACGTCGTCGCGTTTGTCGCGTGTGCAGGTAAAAACGATGAAATGGGGGATAAAGACGTACTCTGCCGTGTGATTTCAAATGTTTCAAATATATATTCTGCCATTGCAATTTTAAACGTGTCAAGTTATTGCTTGTGAACTGCCTGACAGTCGCATTTATTTTTATTCCAGATTCTCGACGAGCGTTTTAAACAGGATGAGATTCGCATGACGCCTCTCCCGATTACGTTTTACTCCTGGATGCTCGCGGATACAGTTGCGTTTTATATAAAACGTAGGCCGGAATCGACGTTTTATGCGGCATACCACCCATGTGCCAACACAGGACACAACACTTCCGCTGCATGTCCAGTTGCCGACCGGCTCGCCACTGCAGAACTCGTGATTGATCTCCCGCGACCAAGGACGCTCGCATGGTGCAAGTACTTCAGCGCAGCACGTCCTTGATGAAGATGCTGAGGGGAGGAAATTATCCGCGCGACCGTCAGCCCCTCACGCCAGGCACACCGCAGCAGCAACTACCTGCTCTTGGCAACAAGGTAGTTCGAACGCCGATACTTGTGGAAGAAAAGCACGTCCACCCGACGACACCACGCCCAGAACCGTCGTCTGGTTCGAACAAACTGACGCGAATGTGGCAGAACATTCGACGTCGGGGACGAGACGAGTCTGCTCCCCGACACGGGTCTGCGTCGTTTGTGCTGCATGGCGAAGACGCCATGGCTGTTGGTCCACTGTATCACATTGTTGCGGATGGCATCTCCACCACGACACATCACTCGACCTCTGCAGCTCCTTCTCTGTCCCCAAGTCCATCGGCAGTACTCGCGCGAGCACTCGTCCACGCGGTGGAACACGTTCTCCTCCACGACCCACCCCCGTCCAGCCTTGCCGACTTCGAACACATGGTCATCCGTGGCATCCTGACCGCTCAAGCGCTCTGCCAACACGTGTCGTCGACGATGGGCTCCACCCTCGTCGTCGCCCTCGTCCATGCCAAGCATCTCTTCACATTCAGCATTGGCGATTCCAAGTGCCTTGTTTTGAGGAAGGGACGTATTGTGTACGAGACGCTCGCTGTCATGAAGGAATTCAACGTTCCGTGGACAGTCACCCACCACGCCCTACGACCCCGTACGTGAGCTCCACTACTCATGCAATGCTTGGTGTGTATCAAGCGCGCCATGCGCTCCATGCTCTGCTCTTTTCCGCGGTATTCCATTCCTTTGCATGCGATTCCTCGCGAATATTGAATCAGTATTTGCACACATTGCACTTTTTGCCCCATGGATATATTTTCAATATGTCAAGAATTGCATGAAAATTTTGTGATTTTCTACCACCAATCCACAAGCCTATTATTTTTTATGTGGACAATATTTTTGTCAATTTCGGTCGTGGCGCCACTTTACAAAAATTGCGAGTTCTGCATGTAATGGAGTTGAGTTGGTCGCGTTGGAGCTGACGCCTCATTTGCGGACTGTGGTAGACATGTACGTGGTCCAGCGCATTCCACTCAAGAAGCTTGACATCGTGCTGTCGTTTTCCGATGGATTTGGCGATAACGTTTACAAGGACGACCTCGTGAATCTCTTGCACGTCACCGCGACCCCTTCCGACAAGTGCCATCGGCTGCTTCAACACGCCAGAGCCCTCAACGACGTATCCAAGGAGACGGCCTTTCCATTTAGCGCCGCCGCCGCTGCAGCATACGTTGCGCGTGCCAAAGAAGACGAGAGCTCCGAGGTGAGAAAATTGACTTTTTCCGATATCTGAATCGGGCGGGGTGTGCATTGCAGACGCTTCAGCGAAGAGACGACCTGTCAAAGCGATACGAGTCCAAGTGGCCGCAGCTCTTGTCGAGGCAAGTGCTTGTCGCCAGCTCCACACTCCACGACCCGCCACACCGCGACTTTCACTACTCGATGGCGCAGCTCTACCGCATGGCGACGTTGAAAAAGAAGAAACCGGACGACATTTCCATCGCTTTGCTGGAATATGGGTAAAACAATTGCAGCCTTGTGGCACCGCTTAATTTAAATGCAATCCTCGTGACAAGTCAGAGAACTTATTGCCCCATCGTGGTCTACCTACCCCGGGCCCACGCAGCGCCACATTGTTGGGCAGCACTGATTCGAATTGTGCGATACTCGTAGGACATCCAGTAAGACGGGGCACGAGTTCAAGGTGCCAACTATATGAGTTTGCTGAACAAAGGAAACTACAGTCAACTTGATAAAAACTCGACAGAGTGGTACTGAATAAAATTGAGCATCCGATGAGCACTGCCAATTCGGGGAAATATAGTCACAATTACACTTCACGCAGTGATTGGGTAAATACGCATTGAATTTTAATTCTATGTGATT